TAAAGAGATTTATCTCTGAAATTGGAGCCCTTACCATATAAAATTTAAATACCAGTATATAAATGAAGTTAAACTAAGGAAATCTTATTTGCCAATGATACTTGCAAATATCTCAGAGTCAGGAGCCTCTGTGTGCCTAGAGAGTCAGAAAATTATAACTATAAGCATGATACAACTTAGAAGCGGATGAAAAACCAATCACAAGAATGCAACCATCTGTTAGACGAACCACAAAACAGGGCCCAGAAAGCTTTCCCAAGGACTCAGATGTGCTAGGTCAACACAGGAGTTCCCAGAGATCAGCAAAGTCAAAGCAGAAAGGTTAGACAACTTGAAGCTTCACTTCCAGACATGTTTATACCACCTGGTTCTTCCTGCAGGGATAGCTTGACACAGAGGTAAAGGGATCACATTGTTCCAAGGATTAAAAATTAATAACCTCTGGGAGAATTAACCTGTTGATGGTGCTTAAGAGACATACAAAAAAAAAAAAAAAAAAAAAAAAAAAAAAAAAAAAAAAAAAAAAAAAAAAAAAAAAAAAAAAAAAAAAACACTTTGAGTCAATTTGAAAACCTGACTCAGAAGCCAGGCTGTGCATTCTGACAGCATCTTTCAACCGAATCAGAATAACTTAAGGTCCACAGTCAATGAAAACTTCCCCAAAACTCTGAGTTATTCAACAAAGAAGCACCTTGTGTTGATGCTGTAGGCAGAGAAACTAGAATTGTGAAATAAGAGGTTTCATATTTGTTCTTGTATTAATTCTGTGGCCATGTTGGTCTTCTCTCTCCAACAAGGCCATAAGATTCTCAGGGAAGGGTTGAGATACAGCCTTACGTTTCTTCTCAGCCAGGATTCCTTAGAGAAACAGAACCAACAAGAGATAGATAGATAGATGGTTAGATAGATAGATAGATACATTCATACATACACAGATACATAGATATAGAGAGTTGATATAGATATAGATGGAGAGAGAGACAGAAACAGAGAGAGAAACAAAGACAGAGAGAAGGATTCAGATTTATTTTAAGGAATTAGCTCATGTCGATTGAGAGGGATGGCAAGTCCAAAATCTGCAGGGTAGGCCACGGACCCAGGGAAGAGTTGCAGTTTGACTTCAAAGGGAGTCTGCTGGCAGAATTCCTTTGGCAGAATTCCCTCTTTTCCTGGGAGACATCAGTCTTTTTCTCTTAAGGACTTCAACTAATTGGATGAGGTCCATCTGCATTACAGAAGGTAATCTGCTTTGCTCAAAGTCTACTGATTTATACGTTAACCTTATCTTAAAAATAGCTTGACAGAAACATTAGAATAATGCTTGTCCAAATATATAGCCAAGTTGACACATAAAATTAACTGTCACACTTCTTAATTAACATTCTTGAGGTGTAATTTATATACAATGTACTCAGTTTAGTTTAGTTTCCATATTTTGTTTTTTATAGTTAAAAGTTATTTTTTCAATTTTAACCTGCCATTTAAACTGCATATATTTATAATGTACAACATAATATTTTGAAATATGTATGTGGAATGGCTAAATTAAGCTAATTAACATATGCATTACCTTACATACCTATCATTTTGCGAGGTGAGAACACGTAAAATCTATTCTCTTAGCAATTTTCAAGAGTACAATACATTGTTTTTAACTATAGTTACTATGTTGTACAATAGATCTCTTGTACTTATTTCTCCTATCTAACTAAAATTTTGTTTCCTTGGACCAATATCTCCTCAACAATGTACCCACATTAAATAATTTAACATGCAATTTGGGGAGTTTCGACACATGTATACACCTATGTAACTACCACTCCAATCAAGATAGAAAACATTTCCATCACTCCAGAAACTTCCCTCTTTCTGCTTTCTAGACAATCCCTGTCCCCTTTCTGGCCCTGGGCAACCACTGTTCTGTTTTCTGTCACTATAGATTGTTTTTGCCTGTTTTAAAAATTTTTATATGGATTCATACAATATGTACACCTTTGTATCTGGCATCTTTTACTCAGCATGATATTTATGAGATTTGTCCAAGTTTCCATTTGTCCCTTTTTATTGCTAAGTAATAGTCCATTGTATGGATATTCCATGGTTTGTTTTGCCTGTTAATAACTATTTCTAGTTTTGATCCACTGTGAACCAAACTGCTATGAACATTCATGTACAGGTCTTTTTATGTACATATGTTTGTTCTTTTCTTGGCTAAATGCCTAGTAGTGGAATGGCTGAGTCACATGGTGGGTGTAGGTTTAACTTATTTTTTTATTGCATTTTAGGTTTTGGGGTACATGTGAAGAACATGCAAGATTGTTGCATAGGTATACACGTGGCAGTGTGATTTGCTGCCTTCCCCCCCCTCACCTATATCTGGAATTTCTCCCCATGCCATCCCCACCCTCCGCTGTCCCTCCCCTATTTCCCCCCAACAGACCCCAGTGTGTAGTGCTCCCCTCCCTGTGTCCATGTGTTCTCATTGTTCAACACCCGCCTATGAGTGAGAACATGCAGTGTTTGATTTTCTGCTTTTGTGTCAGTTTGCTGAGAATGATGATTTGCAGGTTTATCCATGTCCCTACAAAAGACACGAACTCATCATTTTTGATGGCTGCATAATATTCCATGGTGTATATGTGCCACNGTTCAACACCCGCCTATGAGTGAGAACATGCGGTGTTTGATTTTCTGCTCCTGTGTCAGTTTGCTGAGAATGATGGCTTCCAGGTTCATCCATGTTGAAACCCTGAATAGACCAATAACAAGGTCTGAAGTTGAGGCAGCAATTAAGAGCCTACCACCCAAAAAAAGCCCAGGTCCAGACGGGTTCACAGCCGAAGTCTACCAGACATACAAAGAAGAGCTGGTACCATTCCTTCTGAAACTATTCCAAATAATCCAAAAAGAGGGAATCCTTCCCAAATCATTTTATGAAACTTTTGAAGTTTAATAGTTTTCCACAGGTGTTGCACTGCTTTACATTACCAACAGCAGTGCATGGAAGTTCTAGTTGATCAGCATACTGACACTTGCTGACTTTCTTTTATGCTTTATGTTTTAAATATAATTTCTATTTTAAGTAATGGTTGTTTCACAAAAAAAGTTGTAAAGATAGTACAGAAAGTTCCCATATACCTTTCATCTAGATTTCTCTAATGTTAGCATCTTACATTACATGGTACATTGATTACCAAGACCAGGAGATTGACACGGGTACATCACTATATACTAAACTTCAGCTTTTATTTGGATTTCATGCACATATCCACCAAATATCCTTTTTCTGTTGTAGGATCTCATCCAGGACATCACATTGCACTTAGTTGTCCTGTCTTCTTAGTCTCCTATGCTCTGTGATAGTTTCTCAGTCGTCCCTCATTTTTCATAACCCCAGAAGTTTGAAGAATACTGGTCAGATATCTGGTAGAATATCCCTCAATCTGGATCTGTCTGAAGTTACTTTTTTCATTTTTAGATTGGGACTATGAATTTTGGGGAAAACTACCACAAAGACCAAATGCTCTTGTCATCGTGTCACCTCAAAGGGCATGTGATATCAATATGACTTATCACGGATGATGCTAACCTTGATTCCTTGGTTAAGGTGGTGTCTGTCAGGTCTCTCCACTGTAGAGCTGCTATTCACCATCTTCCATGTTCTGTTCTTTGGAAAAGAGTCATTAAGTTCGGACCATCCTCAAGAGGGGATGGTGGGAGCTAACCTCCACTTCCTAGAGAGGGAGAATCCCCACACATTTTTTGAATTATTTTCTAAGGAAGATTTTCCTCTTTCCCACCTTTGATTCGCTTATTCAATCATTTATTTATAACAGTGAACATATATATATCACTGCACTCCACACTGGGCAACAGAGCAAGACTCTGTCTCAAAAAAAAGAATATATATATATACACACACACACACACACACACACACACACACACACACACATGTATTTTATACCTTGTATTATAACCTAATACTATATTACTTGTTTGTCGCTTATTCTACTTCTGGGCACTCCTCCAGGTCAGCGCCTGTGTCCCTTTCACATGCCTTCATCCTTTTGTCTGTTGAGCATTTTTTTTTTCATTTCTGGCACTAGAGGATTCTCCAGACTAATCTATTTTCTCTGTCCAAGCCCTAAATCTGTCATTTGTCCAAGAAGCCTTTCCTTTTATCAAGAGAATGGTATTTAGAAGCAACTTCTGGCTGCTGAGTGCATGCTGGTTTTGTTTTATAATCAGCTTTATTGAGAAATAATTCATGCTCCATACAACTTGCATGCTGACCTGAAAACCTCCACTTATCCTTTCTCCATCAGAGTTCAATATATAATACTTGCTCAGCAGAAACCTGTGGATTGATCCAGGGATCATTCTTCACAAAGAAAAAGTCAATCCTCATTCTAGCTCTGCTTCTCCTAAGCTAACTGTCACAGAGTAAGACAGTTGTGTAATCTTCCAGGCCCCAGAGAGCAGTCTTTGTAATTCAACATCTATTGACTCCATCATCTTCTTCCAGAAAGTATACCCAGATTATACTTCCAGAAAGTATACCCAGATTATTATAAATAGTTGGGCTGGGTGGTCTTCTCAGTGTCCCAGAGCTTTTTGTTTCTCTTTCATCTGCCACTAACTCCACTGCACCAGTTTCATGCATGTACTATTCTATGTCATTCATTGGGCCCTGCTCTGCAAGAGCATGGGCTCTGGAGCCAGTCTCCCTGGGTTGAGTCACAGTCTGTCACTCACTAGCTCTGTTAAGTTGCTTAACCTCTCTGTGTTTCAATTAACTCACCAGTGAAATGTGATCATAGTAACTATCTTGGAGGCATGTTAGAAAGATGAAGTGTGTTCATACATGTAAGTCACTTTGAACAGTGGCTGGCATGTTGTAAGTTCTCAATCAATGTTATTACTGCAGCTGCTACTATTGTAATTATAATCTTTGTATGCCTAGGACCTGCTGGCAGAGACTACTGGCACAGAGTAGGTTCACAGTACATGCTTGATATCTTCTCAGCTGTGTGACCTTGAACTCGTCATTTATTTGAGACACAATGTCCTGATTTTTAAACTATCTTGTACTTTGGTTCCTTATGTTATAACTATCTATTCTACTTGTTTTTAAGTCTCCCCTTGAACCCAGACCCACTCTGGTCTCTGCAGATCCCTATCAGCAGAGTAGTGCCCAACCCTGCCTCCTCAATACGATGCACTTGTACAAAGTGGGTGTGGGACAGAACTCAAATAGCAAAGAACCAAATCAAGCTGCACATTGAGGGCAATGTGCATCTACTACTGGTGCACACGCTCATCTTTCTGGACTATCAGTGTGGTGTTTTGCCCATAAGTAAAGGGAATCACAAAGAGATAAAACCATAAGCAGTTGAATAGCCACATCATAAGTTGGAAGAACAGCATATTTTTGCTTGAAAATCCATTAAGAAAAAAATAGAGTGGAAGAAATTAGTATTCAGCCAAACAATTTAATTATGTAGGGCTTTTTGTTTGCTTGCTTTCACAAACACATTGGTTCTGCCAGAAATCACCACCAGATGATTTGAAGCAGAATGTGAGCCCAGCAGATGTGGTTAATTACTGTCTGTCTGTTACTGCACAGATCTGCTCCAACAACCATGGTAGCTCCTGGAAACATAAAGACAATTGATTCAGAAAGTGAGAGCTCACTCTGACACATGGGGCTTGGCCTGGGAAAAGGTGAAGGACAGCTTTTGGATCAAGGCAGAGTTAACTAACTGACCATGACCAGCATGTGGAGCCCTGACCAACAAAAGCATTCTGAGCATCCTTCTA